ACCTATTTTACATGGTGGTAGAGAAGAGTAAAATCTCTGAACTTTAAAGAAAAAAAGAAAAAGAAAGTGAAGAACTATGAAATTCTCTACAGCTTCACATATTGTAAAAACATCAGTTGGGAAAAGTCTGGAACAAGTAACAAATCCTAATTAGGACTGAATTCTTCCTCTGGTATTTATTGACTGTGTTTTCTCTGTTAAAAGCCACTCAAAGGTCTTTTTTAAATCTCTTAAAATCTTTTAAAATCTCTTGTACCTACGTTTCTCTTAGAAATTACCATTTGATTTTTACTAACAGTCTCCAACTGAGAAAAGATCTGAGTAGTGAAATGTGAAAATAAGCCACAAGACAGTCTCTCAGTCACACACAGAATATGACAGCAATAAAAATAAAACCCTAAAGAGTGAAGACTATCTTGTTTCTTGTCTTTACAGAATTCAGTCATATCACTTACTTGTGCTGCGTCTCTGTGGAGTGTCTAGTATCTTCTTCGTCTTTGTATGTGACTGCGTCTTGGGTTTACATGATGAGTTAACTGACAATCACAAGCCAATGAGAGAAGAGGTGACTTACTTCCTTGTAACTCTCTTCCTTCACTTCTTAGATGAAATATGACTGCCAAACAGTTTAAGCATCAAAGACTTCTGGTTATTCTTGGCGTTTAATGAGATCTTGGTGTATACATAACCTAACATATTTGCATACAGTTGATAAAGTCCAAGTTATAGATGTGAAGTATGCCTATCGCTACTGTTATGGAACAAAAGAGGTCTATTTGCCTGTGTGTGAGTCAAAGGAGAGAGACGTGCAGGTTTGCAGCAAAGAAAGTAAAGATCTATTTCAGGGAGCTGCAGGTCCCAGAGACACAGGAGAGTTCATGCTCTTAACAACCTGGCACCCCAGATGTCTTGGGAGTACAGATTATATAGGGGAAAACCAGTCATCATGGAAACGAAGGGTGTTGTGGTAATTGATCAGTCTGGCACCATCCCATCTGGTCCTGTGGCTGGTGAGGTTGTTTTGCCTCAATGGGCCTGGAGCCGAAATAAATCTAAGGCTGTTATCCTTAATACAACCAAAACTTATCGTCCCCATGGTTATAGACCTGAGGCTCAATAAATCGTATGTCCTAAGGCTTAATGATTAAAGGAGCAAGCATACGAAGGTAGAAAGTGGAAAAAGCAAGTAGGTCACAGTGCCATTATCTGGGCAAAACCAGCTCGAATCAGAAAAAAAACTATATTAAAGAAATGAAATGAAGTTTGTGTGCAGTTACACTACATGTTCATTTATTTTTAAAATCTTACACACAGGCTCCTGGAGAATGAGAAAACATGGGCGCAAGTAAACCCTCTTTACAGACACACTCTTGGTTTGCTTCCTCACTCCATTAGGTCTGCTTGGAGCATCCTTGCCTCACCACTTCCTCACCCGGACCCTCCTCCAACAGTCTCATCCTTTATCTGCAGTGTATTTCTTCATCACAGTGTCTGACACCATAGTATATTTTGTTTACACCTTCCAAAAGTGCAGACACTTCAACGTTTAGTTTACTATTGTGTCATCAGAATTGAGAGGCGTTCCGGGCGCATCGCTGGCACTAATATATATTTGATGAATGAATGGTCTCAATTCGTATTTCCCCACAATTCACATTTTTACAAGGACACTTTAAATTCTCATTGCAGCTGGTGTGTTTTATTTATAGTCACTTCTCAGAAGGGCCTTTTTAAAGTAAATCTGGAGTGGAAGATTCCAATATAGCTTGTTGATAATCCTATACAGATTAGTAACAAATGCCTAAATGTTTTAAGAATTTATTTTTTCACTCCTTAGCATAGAAATTAATTCCAGCTATAATAATAGGACAGCTCAGTGAAAAGACCTAGTAAAACACCTGCCTGTGCATTATTGGGCCCACAGATTATCCGTGAAACATTTTAATGACAGGCTGGCTTTCAACTTTTAGAAAATTACGCTCATAGACAGCAAAAGCAACTGATTAATTGTGCAGTATTTCCTATTTCTAAACACTTTAAACTTTTAAAAATGTAAACATAAGAAATGGAAATAAATATATTAGTCAGTACAAAGTTTAATTAAGAAGACATAATTACAGCCCTTTATGTGCCCAAAAGATATGTGTAAGTCAAAATGAAATGCAAATGGAATGGGAGCCATACAAAACCAACACTTTGTATTTATTATCTTTCACTGAGTTTTAACTTACATTTTTAAAACATCTTTTTGCCCTTACCTGAATCATTTTTAATCCCCTTTTATGATGAGGAAACAGAGATATAGGAAAATCGCTCAGGAATTTTGGATGCACAAGCTAGCGCACTCAGTGCATTACTTGGCAAGAAATTATTGTTTAATAAATATTAGTGGTTATTGCATATTTCTTTAATAATGGAAAAACAAATAAAATCGCTTAAAAATAGTCCACATGTAAGTTCCTCTTTAATTATTTATTTTGGTAAAGGGGAAGTATTCAAACAAACCTCTTTCTATTTTTCTGGCTGCTCTGCTAATGGAAGATAAAGGAAGTCTCCAGGAGAAGCCCACAGAATTTCCTTTACTTGACATCACAGTGTCTTTTTCACAGTTAGTTGAGAACCTAAAAACACGTATTTAAACCCCGGATGGAGAAGGCAGGCTATGAAGAATATTTTTCTCTTTCTGCTTCTAATTTATTTGAGTAATTGAAATATGCCTGTAAATCTTTAGTGTTTATGTTTTCCCAGATTTCAATGGTGACAGCATTATTTTTCTTCCCTGACTCCAGGTACTGTGAAGAATGATACAGTAATTATTTCCAAGGTTGCGAGTAAAGGTTTTTCTGCCTAGCTCTTTGGTTAAAAGAGGATTCCCAGATATAAGCAAATAATGGTAATATAAATAGCTAATATTCGTTAACTGCTACCCATGGGCAAGCATTGAACAAAGTGCTTGTCATATGTTATCTCATTTAATACCCACAAAGTAACATCACAAATGATGTATATATACTTGAATATGGTTATGTAACTGACTAGGGCATGTCATGAAAGCATTTCTGGATGCAAAATTCTCAAACATTTGAATCTTATTCATGAGATTTTATATTTACTCTTCTGCCAAAAATGGAAAAATAAGAATTAAAATAGAGTAAGTTGCTTTCAAGATTTTTCCAGAATCAATTACTGTCCCCTCTGTATCATTATAATATACATCGTAGGAGAAAAAACCATGCATTAAATCTTACCTCTTCCTTTACCTTGTCCTCTTACCCAAAAGAGTTTCATTTCCTCTCCCAAACTCAGTTCTTGGAATGTAAGAGTTTGCCTAGTTACCTCTGAAGTCACTTTCTGTTCTATTATTCAATGACATAACTTTCCCCTGAAGACATTTCTCTGTCTTACGTGATAACGTGAATGATAACTAGGTCCAAAGGCACACAGAGTTCATGGACTGAAAATTATAGGGGCATAAATTATCTTTGACCCCAAATCTAGCAACAAAGACTCAAGATACTCAGATCACTGGACGGCCACACTCTGATAATCCCACATCACAGGATGAACTTACTCTTTTATAGACACTAAAACTAATGCAGACAAAAGTATAATTTAGGGGAGATTTTTGGTGAGATTGAAGTACTTTTCTAGATGTTATCAAGAAGCAAGCAACCAAAATATATCAATTAAAATGATTTATTTGTATTTTTTACATATTTTGAAAATATATTAATCTGAAGAAAGAGAAGATTTTGGGGAATAAGAATGTGTCAGAAAAATTCCAAGACTGTAGGGGACGAATAATAGCAAATGCTGATATTTGTGCTGATCATGTTCCTGGTACTCACTCAATGTTTTAATTTGCCAAGGTCTCAAAACTAGCAAGCAGAAGATCCATATCTATGTTTCTTACTCTATTAGGCTTCTGCCATTTACTGACACTATTTCTCAGGATTATTTAACTTTCTTTAGCCTCACTATACATATCAAGTAAATTTCTGCTCTAAATTCTTTCTCCTAAGCAGGTTTTTTTCACCATTTTACTTGAGAAATTGATTTTGTATGCCTTCATATCAGACATGTAGGATTTCTGGCAGAATTATTTCAGACTGGCCTGCAATGCAAAAAAAAAGGAAATTTCTTAGAACAAAGAAAATCTTGTTTCTGTTGACACAAGTAACATCTGCTGTCCTGTGCCTGTAAGGGCAACCAAGCTCTAGTGAAAGGAAAATTCTAAGAGATGACTACAGAAATTAGATAAAGCTTCAATTCTTTAGAGCACACTTATACAAGAACATAAAAATATATACAGTTTGTTAAAGCAAAGAAGCAGCAGTTTTCATTTACACCAAAGTAAAAAAAAAAAGATCCAAAAAAACAATGAACAAAGTTACGCCAAAAAATAATTTTTCTGGACTCTAAGACACAATTTTGTTACATGAGTACTTTAGTTCATCATGAGTCTGAGCCATATGGAGAGAAAATATCAGCTATTTCCAAAATTCTGGGACCAAGTCCACGAAGGCTGGAAATGGTATGTTTTCTGGCAGTATGTACATTTCGTTGATGGAAACAGTTTCAATAGCTCATGGGAAGCTATGGGCTTCAATTAGGATGAATCACAATAGTCTAGGGGAAAGATCCAGAACTATTACTAGGCCTGGATTTTAGAGGAATTTATATAAATGATTAAAAAGTTGTTATCCACGAACACCAACTGAAAAATGATGTGTTAATGTGATTATGTAAAGAATTGAATGCTTCTTAAATATTACCATGGGTCCTATGGCCCATGTAACAAGTGTCAGTTGACACAGCAGTGCTGTAATCACAGCATCTTTGTTTGCCTCGGTGGCTTTGACCGTTTGACCATCCCCTTCCTTCCTCAAAATCCATTTGGTTTCCTCCCACAATTTTATGTTCTTTCAAAGAGAACCTGCCTCAATCAAATACTTCTGTTTAATAAAGGAAGAAAAGTATACACATGAAAGAATAATTAACTTGAGATTATCACTCAAGATTCGTGCAACCAACATGTATTGAACGCTGGTACCAGCACTATAAAATATCTCCTATAAATATGTGTTTTTATGACATGTGCTTCTTAGTATCAGGTAAGAATACTTGAAAAAAAAAAACTTTATAAGACAATTTTCAGGTTTCCACCAAGATAAAAGATGCTGTTATTACTGGTGCAAGTGTTACTTTTCTCGTGAAGATTAATCTTCCTATTGATTATGCTCTTTGTTGAAATGACCCTGTTCTCTATAATTCGAGGCAACATTTAGAAAGAGGGTTTGCTGAACAACCGACAAGAACTTCGTGGCCTATTTGACAAATGTATTTCTTAGTATATTCTAACAAATTCAGTTTGGATTTTTCAGTGGTTCATGAAATATTGAATGACTTCATTCAATTTCCAAAAAAGCCAGACCAAGGAACAGACCTTAGATAAATGGAGATTTACTAATTGCCAACATTTTGTTGGGCCCAATTTGAAAACAGAGCTTCCTTTTCTGCAAATAAATAGAAATTCATATGAAATTGTATATAATATTGACTTAAACTTCATGTTAATAGGCTACTATGTTTTCGTAAATGTTCAGAATCAAATTTTTTGTTTCTTTGAATGTAGTGGTAATCCTACTTCAATTTTAAATTCCTACTTGTTTGCTGTTTTAAAACAGCCCGTTAGAGAGAAGTATGCTCTGAGCTACATCACAGTCTCTTCAGTTACACAGCTCAAGCAAAACAGGGTTCTGATGTGCGACAGCTGCTAAGGTTAAGCTGCCGTTCATGGCTCATTTTTTCAGTTTTAGCAAATGCAAAGCATTACATATTTTTTTCTTTTTTTAATCAAAGGCATCTTTTATTTTTTATCAAAGTCAAAGGCATCTTTTTACACCTTTGAACTTCAAAAAGTGAAGTTTGAACTTAAGCCAGTTGAGCGTTTAGTTTTAGTTCTCATTCTTTGGATCTTATTTATTAAGCCCTGTTGATAAATTCAAAAAATAAGGATGGGAAAATTTCCCCAAAATGTGCTTTAAAAAAAAAAAAAAGAATTTAATCATTTTCCTGCATTATCTTAAGAACATATGATGGAAATGCTCAAATTAAATGTATGGGTTGATTTCCAGAAACTGAAAAGTCACAGTTCTTATATATTCTTTATTTAACATTTTAAAAATTGCTTTTTCTTTTTTATTATTCATATCTTGTTTAAATCCTACTGTTTAAATTTCCAAACTTGTCTTTTCCAAAGTAGCTGGATAAACATGACATTAACAGCACACGGTTATATCCCCAAACTCCACTAAAAAGGCAGTAAAAGTATGTGAAATGTAGTCAGAGAAAAGGGAAGCATTGACAATATAAGAAACATTTCAAAAAACATTTTGGCAGACAGGAAGCAAGTGGAGGAGTGGCACTGGATCACAGCAGTGTAGTCAAAGTTATAATCCAAGTTTTCCTAAAGATAGGGAGGAGGATATATACTGCGGAGATGATATTCCAATAACCATAAGGAACCCATGAGACACCAGGGCCCCGAGGCTCATAAAAGTGGACTTGAGATTCAGGACCCAAAACCAGGGATTAGGTAAAAGTCAGCAGAGAAATCGCTGAACCCCTGTTGACCTACCATTTTCCCAACCCCCACTGCCCACTGACCAACCCCTCAGCCTTCAAAAGAAAAGGAGGAAAAATCTTGGGGAAACAGAGACTATATTCTAATCACTGAATAATTTTCTTATAAATATGTAGTTTTGGAAAATAATTTTCATAAAAACAAATAAAGGGAGAAAATTGCAGTCAGTTCAAATATTTGATATGCTTACTTCAAAATAATGATAGTTGGGGGTGCCCTTTAAGGCACACACAGCAAATCTGTAATGCAGATGTTATTAGACCCAGATGAGAAAATTAAAGCTTAGAGTTATTAAGTAGCTTACTCAAGGTTGCACAGTCTTAGGTAGTGGTTCTAGTACTCAAATTCTGCTCTGTTGATTACAAGCCTATGCTCTTACAACTACCTGAATATACTACTTCACAAAGATTTGGTTTATAACCACTCTGCACAGAGGAAAGATTCTTCAGGATAAAGAAAGAAGTGTTGAGGAACATTCTTCACAAGTTTAGAATTACTGATTATTTTATTGTTTAATTAATAAACTTGAAATTTAAAGGTTAGTATTAAATACTTCCAAATATTTTTTCTTAGAGCTACAAATATACGAAATTAAATTTAGAAATACAAATTAAGCTTAACAGTGTTGGTCAATCTTACCAAGAATTTCTTATCTTTTTTTTTTTTATCTTATCATTTCCTATGAGACTGTTTTTCTCTGTGCTTAATGTGTTCTGGATTCATTGTTCCCTGAAAAAAATTTTGCTCTGACTAATAATTGGGACCAAAGTACTTAGTACGATTTCTACCCATTTAAATATGAGCTTATATTTTCTATATCCTTTACCAACCTTCATCAGGTAGTCTAAATAACAATTTGCATATTCACATCTGAAAAGTTCCTGCTTTCTTTATATAAATAGTTGGGCAGAGCCATCTCTCCAGAGAGCTGGGCTGAGGTTGGGGATGGGGCATAGAGAACTGATGGGATGCGGGGGGATGGGGTAGGGAGCATGGCTTTTTCTACGACCTAGAAGAAAAAATTTTACATCATATTTTTTTTTAATTTTATTATTAGTTTCAAGTATACAGTACATTGATTAGACATTAAATAGTTTATAAAATGATCCCCCTACTTGCTCTTTCTCTCCTCTGGCTCTCTATCTAGCCATTACATTAATGTGAACTGCATTCCCTAAGCCGAGAACATCATATCTTCTGTCCATCTGCCACATCCAGCATTTTTAGGCAGGTTAAATAAAATGAAAAGTATATCAAAAACAAAAACATGGAGGGGAGAAAAATCTCTCTAGCTAAATGCTTTGTGAAGATAATATGCAAATGAGGGAGGTGCCATGTCACCTGATATAACTCAGATGACGATAAGGAGGGGTGTAAAGTTCCTGAACATGTTTCAGCCTCCATAGCCTGTTAGCAGCGGCTGGGAAGCTGTTCTTCAGCCACCCACCACGGTATTGCCTGTTGGGAAAGCTCTCAAAATTATGAAGGTTGACCACCCAGGGCACTTTTTACTAGAAACTGCTTGACAATGCTCCACATCAATTATGCTGCACATCTTTTCCTTCCATTCTGGTTTCATAATATTTGCTAAACAAAGCATGTTAAGTGTTTAGGTTTAAAACTTTTAAAAAAGTTGAATTTTAAAAGCCAACA